GAGCAAACGAATATATTTCTCCAGAAGTAGATTAATAAATATCATCTGAGGGATGAGCTAATAAAGACAGTGCCGTGCGGGAAGATCTGCTGAGAGTCAGGCTGTCAGTTAGCCCCACTGGGTCCCGGCATTTAATGGACAGGCGGGAGGAAAGCGAGCCGGCGCCACCTGCCGGAGCCCTGCGGTGGTGCACCTGTGAAGCCTGTGGGGGGGCCACCTGCAGCCAGCACGACCTTCATGGGCTGGAGGGTGCAGAGAAAACCCTTCCCTGCCAGGTGGGAGGCCTGACCCCTGCCTGCCCAGTAGCTTTGTGCAGATCGCTTGCCCTCTCTGAATCTCGGTTCCTCCGTGTGAAGGAGGAGCAACCCTGCTGGGTGAGACAGATGTGGCAGGCCTGGCCGTGTCACCTCCTCTGGGCTGATTTCCTAAATGGGCAGCACAGCCCCTGCTGTGGCTCACACTCCTGCCAGGCGGGCCGCATGTTTCCACCCCTTTCAAAGCTCCCATTCTAAGAAGGGGAAAGCACTGTGCTCTCATCTTGGAGCCCAGAGAGCTGGGCAGAGAGAAGTCAGCCAGAATGAAAGGCCCGGCAGAAATCAAAGCAGCACAGTGTCTGTGGGAGTCCCCTCAGCGCTCTGCGGCCACTCCCGACGGAGCTATGGACACACTAGGCTGTCGCGACAGTGCAGGAAGGACAGCAGGGAGCAGATCATCCCTCACACCCTAGTTCACACCTGCCAGCCGCGGTGAGCAGTCTGCTTGCCTGGCACTCAGAGCCCAGGGGACCTGTTTCCAAGCAGCTGTGACTCAAAGGCCCTAAACTGCACCTCACCACCGGGGTACATGTCTGCAGTGCCAGCTTCCAGGGAGCTCACCGCAGTCTGCACAGGGCAGCTGTGCACTCAGGAGGGTGGAGGTGAGGAGACCTCGGCCTGCTGGTGCAGCCAGAGAGGGGCAGCGTCCTGGCCTATGAGTCCCTGCCTGAGACCTCCGATGCCTGCGCCTCTGGGTGACTCCCAGAGCCCAAGAGACTGTTGGTCCCTCTTGGCACTGATTTTCTATCCCCCATTTCTCTGTCCCCGGGCCTGTCACTCCTGGAACAGCTCTACAGTGGGGACCAGCCACATGCTGCTGCTGTCGAGGCACAGCGAGACGCCAGGACCACCAGTGTGGATAAACCGGAGGCAGCTGCCGCCTGAATAGCTGCAGAAGAATAGGTGTGTGCGTGAAGGCAGGCGGGGGAAAGCCGCCGCCGCGGGCTGGGTGGCTAGCAGCAAATGCCTCCTGCTCTGGGGGAAAAGTCAAATTATGGTTTCAGGTTAGTTGGTTCTCTGTTTATTGTTTTATAACCACCGACTATTTCTGGACTTTTGTTTTTGTTTTGAAAGGGATATGCTTTATGATAGGTGCCCACTGAATAGCGACACAGATCAGAGGGATGTTCTTAGGGGGCTTCCTGCCTGCGGCCAGGTCCAGTGTACCCAACCAGGAACTGTTGCTCCAGAGACGGTTGGTCTGCGAGCCGCCAGGCCGTCACAGGGGCCAGGGTGCAAGGCTGAGAGTCAGCACTTGCTGTGGCATCTGAGAGGGCAGAGGTAAGCAAGTGTCAGTAGGGCACAGGTGGGCTTGGCAGCCTGGAGAGAGCAGGACAAGGTCAAGTGTCAGGCAGGGCGGCTTGGCTGAGGCTCGGAGGCAGGGCTTCTGCTGGCAAGTGTGGGTGCCTGCCCTGCCCACCCCTGCAGGGTCTGGTTCTTGAATTATCTGCGCTACCTGGAAACATAACCATGTGCCCAGAAAGGGTCTCCCAGGAAACCGCCCCAGATCAAATAAGTGCTGTGGACAGCTATGTGTTCACCAGCCCTGGCCAAAGACATCTGACTGGTTTCCGAACTGAAGTTGGCCAGTGGTGAGGGTGACATGTGGTCTGATCATGGCTGCTCTGCACAGCCCAGGCCAGGGGACAAGGGGGAAAGCTCTCAGGGAGGGATGCGGACATAGACTCCCTCTGCTCACTCTCTAGGAAGGAACTGGTAGCGTAGGGGGAAGAGCTTCCTGATTAGGTAAACCTGGTTATTTAAAGGGGTAGCCAGGCCTGCTTCTCCCACAGGTAACCCAAGAGCCCCGCTCTGGCCACCTGGCCCACTTTCCTCTCCAGCCTGCATCCCTGACCCTCCGTCCTCATGCCTCCTCACACGCACTGCCCCAAGCACCCTGGTCTCCGATTCCCACTGTTATGCCTTTCCTTATGTTATTCCCCCGCTTGGAGTGACCTCTTCCACCTTGTCCACCAGGCAGGCTAGCTCCAAATCCTCTCTCTTGGCCCAGATCAGACGGTGCTCTTCCAGAAAGCATCCCTCAGCTCTGCCCACCCAGCAGTTGGAGTCAGGAGCTTGTGCCTCGGTGCCCCTCCACCTCGTTGGAGCCTGGTGCAGAGATCCACGGCCTGGCCCCTGTGGACCACTGTGCCTGGCACGGCGCGGGCAGTGGTGTGTGTGGGATGGTTGGTGCTGCTGGAGCCCTTTAGATGCCTCTAGCACTGACAGCATTCAATAAAAAGACACCCGCCATCAGTTCTTATGTTCTGGAATCCCCACCCCCAGCCTCTGTCTGTCTAGCTAAGCTGCCCAGGCCTTCCTGGTTCCGCGTGCTTTGCAGCCATGCCCTCCAATCCCTGCACCCACCGCCTGTGGGCAACGCTACAGACCTTGAAGCCATACCCAGAGGGTAACCGACTTGCCCAAGGCTGGGATTCGCACACTGGTGGTCTGTTCACCACCTCCCTCCAGACCTTTTTTCTTTTGAATTGGTGGCTGGTATCAGATTCCAGCCCTTCCCTGGCACTTCCTTATGCTGCTCAGCACCGTCAGCAGGGGTGCCCTGCCCAGCCCCTGATGTCCTGTGTTCCTCAGGGAGGGGTCAGATGGGTTGGGTGTTTGGTTCTGATTCGTTGCAATAAGTAGCGAAGCTTTGGACCAGCTGGAAGGAGCCCTTGTGTCTCCCTGGGCAGCTTGGACCGTCCTGGTCCCCTTATACCCCAGGGAAGAGCAGGGGGGACTCCAGGAGCTGGGATCTTTCTCCAGTAGAAGCCTTTTCAGCTCTGAGCCAGAGGGGCTTGGGGTTTGTGGAGCACCTCCATCAGTCACCGTGAGGACCTGGGGCGACAGCATTATCTGGGGACATGGCACTGTCCTTGGACTCCCAGTGGGATCGATGAGACTCAGGTGCCTCAGGTTGGGGGTGCCAGGGCCCACAGTGCAGGTGGTTGTTTAGGGTGTGAAACGAGAGTTGCACCGGAAGAGGGCACCAAGGGCCCCTGCTGCCCCTGTGTGCTGTCTGGATGGAGGTGCGGGCTCTTTAGGGCCATGCTCCCTGTCTGCCGAGGATGCATGCGTGTGTGGTAACGAACAGTGCCGTGACAGACACCGCGTGTCACGCCGGAGCGTCTCCTCCGGAGAGCAATTTGGTAATCTCTCCTTCAGGGGAGAGTTGCTCTTTGCAGCGTGTTCTGTGGAATTAAGTGAGCCTCTGAGTGTCACTCCAGGGTGATCTGTGCTTCGCTGGCTCTGATGGCAAAGACGTGCTGCGGCCACCGTCACTTGTAATTACACATTTCCAGAGTGAGCGAGGCCAAGCGCAGACGCGCGGGCTCTCCAGCCCTCAGCCCTCTGAGTCCTGCGTTCCGCTCTTCTCGTGCAGGCAGCAGGCTGGGGGCCGAGGGCGCTCAGAGGTTGACTTGGCGCAACCCTGGATTTAGGTCAAGTGGGACATCGCGGAGATCACCGAGACGGGTGGAGGGCTGTGGATGGAAGCCGTACCTGGAAAGCACCAGTGAATCATTTCTTTTAATGTCATGGCTCCTGGCCTGGCCCAGGAGGGAAAGCAGCCTTCTGGTTTTTGCTCAGGCAACAATCAAGTTACTGTCACTACCAGCAGCCCAGAGTGCTTACTGGAGCTCAGCAGTGTATCCAGTTTAAGGGACAGTCTTTGCCCTTAAGGGTCCTAGAATACATAGCAGAAACTCCAAAACTATGCACAGTATCTGAGTCCAGGGTAAGAGATCACCGACTGTCTAAGAGTCGTACAGAGAACGCGGCTGATGGCCGTGCTGAGGCCACACTGGGCAGGCCACAGGGTAGGTGCTGAGAGGATGCCTGTGCCTCTTCTCCTGCTCACCTTGCATTTTGTCCTCTCTAGGTCCCCAGCGACTATGCCATGCCTGACAGCCAGCCAGGGCTCAGGAAACATTTCCTAAGTGAATGAATGGACGAATGGAAGCTCTCATCCTATGTTGGGAGTATGAAATTGGAGTCCTTGGGGTTGCAGATGCCTCTGATTTAATAAAACTAAGCCTGGAAACATTGGAACAGCAATTGAAAAGCAAAACGAAACCATGTAGCCAGCCACACACGAGCTGACCCGCTCTGCAGGGATGGCCCGGCCGGCGGCTCCCAGTGCCCCCACCTGGGGAGGGTGCGGGCCCGGGCTCCCAGTGCTCTGCCGCAGAGTCCGCGCTGGGGCTCAGGTGGGCGCCCAGTGGCTGCTCTGAGCCCAGGCTGAAGCCGACACGCTCTTTGTCTTGACTGAGGCTCCTGTGCCGTGAGTTAATTGGCACCGGGGCAGTGTCCTCGCCAGCCTGGTGGCTGCACTGATTCCTAATGGTCCTCACGTTTGCCTGCACACAATCACTCTGCACAGGATGTAATTAAATCCTTTGAACAGGACTTTGGGACATTTGATTATGTAGAAAAACTCCACAGAAATGTAAGCTGTTGGTGCAGCTGGTCTACCCTGTGGTTTCTGACGGTGCTCACTGTGGTATGAAAATTACCTTACAGGGAAGAGAGGGGACGAGGCTGGAGGGAGGCCAGCGGCGCTGCTGGGGAGCCTCGCCCCGCCCTGCGTGGGGCAGCGCAGCTGAAGAGGACAGCGGTGAGCCTGCCCCATCCCTCACCCCCCACCCACGTGGGCCCTGACTGATCCCTCTGCCCTTCTCTCCCCAGGAGCTGCCAGAGCATGACGAGCCTGTTCAGTAGCGTCATGTCGCCGACCCAGGATGGGACGTCCTCTCTTCCCAGGAGGCAGAGCTCGTTCCCCAAGCCCCCACTCCGCGCCCTGTACGACCTGCTCATAGCGCCCATGGAAGGGGTGAGTGGCTCCCTGGGGCACGAGGCCCCCTGGGCATCAGGACACGTCATTTACCCGGCAGTGCCGCTGTGTATCCCCTTAGGTACAAAAATGGGCTCTGAAGACAACCAGGGGTTGTCCAGAACATGCAACTTCTCTGTCCAACTTTTCATCATTTGGAAGCTAAAGTGGATGCATGTTCTTGGTTGGCTCCTGGTTAGCGGACAAGGCCTTAAGCTTCACATTGGCAAATCTGTGCTCAAGTCCTAGCTCTGCTCCTCATAAACGTGGCTTCCGTTACCTCACATGCAAGACGAAATGGTGCTCCCTTACCAGCCTGCCCAACGCCGTGGCCTTGAGGCCCAGGGAGGTGCAGGCTACGCACATCTAAGCGGCCACCAGCAGGACCAAGCCGTCACCGTGGGCCCCACATGCCCAGGGCTGAGGCTGCCCTTCCCACCCCGCGATGCCGCAGGGGACATGGCCTTGGCTCTGCCGTTCCCAGAGGGCTTCTTCCCCGCCTTGTGCCCACACCCTGCTGGCACTGAACGCTTCCCCACCTCTCATTCTAGAATCTGGTCTGAGCATGTTCAAGTGAGGGCTGTGCTTTCTGGTGAGAAGGAGTCTCAGAGTCAATCCCCACCTTCCTCTTTCCCTTGGCCTCAGACAATGTCAGGAATCACTGACCCCATCTCAGAGTCCCGTGTGAAAGGCACCCTTGCACAAGCTGCCAGACAGGTTTGCTGTGGCGCTTCACCTGCCCTGCTCTTTGCACGTCACTTTTTAATTCAGACACAGCTCTCTGACTGGACGGGGGACACCAAAGGGCTCAGGATCTTTGCGGATCCAGTGGTGAGCCCATCAGATGCCTGCGTGCAGCTTGTCAGGAACGCACAGGGGGCCTGCGGCAGGCGGTGGGCAGCATGCGTCTCAGCTGGGGTGTGGCCCTTCCTCTGTGGCCGTCTGCGGTCAGTCTTGCAGGTGTCAGGCGACCCCTCAGCAGCTCTCTCTTCCGCTGCAGCCACCTGACAGAGGTGAAGCCCATCCTCAGGATACCGTATCTTGACTATGACTCCTTTGTCCCCAGAAAATGCTCCTGTCTTTCCCCGCTTGGCTTTCCAAGTTGTTTCGCAACTTGTCTAACATCTGTAAGGAAGCCGTCCTGCCTGCCAATGCCCTCTGGACTTCCCTGGCTCGGGGAGATGGGTATGGTGGAAAGCACAGAGCTTCTGGGAGCCGGCAGAGCTGGATGTGCCTCTGGCACTGCCCTTTCCTGGTTGGGCCACCTTGGTGAAGCTGCTTCCCTGCCTGGAGTATCTGTTTCCTCGCTGGAAAACGAGGATCATCCCACCCCATGTGTCAGATTAAAGCAGGTTAGATAAAAGGGCAAAGCACCTGAGGCAGCAGCGGCAGCAAATGTGCCCCTGGCAAGTGGTGGCTGCTGTGCCCAGGTGCCTCCTCCAAGTGCCGAGTCACCACCACCGTGCCTCCGAGCCTTCCCTGCACTCCGGGGCCTCCTAGATCTGATCACATCACGCACCAAGGCCCGGCCCGGTCTCCTCCCCTGCGATGCCACTCCTTGCGTGCACTCAGCCAGCCTTCCCTTCTTAGGGTTATTGTCCTCTCCTGTGTCCTTTTAATGGGGTGACCAAAACTGCAGAGAGCTCTCCACCTCAGAGCTTCTCAGATGCTGTAATACCTCACCTGATTTGTGTGCGTGCCTTGGAGGAAGAAATATATACCTAGACCCTGAGGCTGCTTTTTTCAAGTTTCCTTTTCTGCCATTAACTGTCACGCAGACCATTCCGGTGACTTACTGCCAGCCTTCCTCCTCCTTGCCCTGAGGTCTGCGTTTCCCGTGGGTCCCGCTCCAGTGAAGGGTGTTTGGACTCCATTCTTCACCCACTGGGCCCTCTCAGTCCCTTCGCATTTCTCCTTTTGCGCTCAGGTCTCCAGATTACTTGCTCCATCCCTATCGAACTGGCAGGGGGGACCAGGAGAGGAGCAGAGGGGGGCTGGCTGTGACTGTCACCACCGGCCCTGGTGAGGCTCAGGCCATCTAGACCTGCAGGCCCATCTCATCTCTGGCCCAGTTCATTGTCACCTCCTCTTTGGAGCCTTCCTGCTGCTTCTCCCTGCCTCCTGAGCCCTTCGCCCCCTCCCCACCACTGGGCCCCTTACGTACCCGGATGTCTCTTACGGTACCTGATACCGTCGGCTCTACTGTGCCTCCTAGATCCATGGAGTCAACCAACAATAATTCCGCAAAGTCCCCCAAAGCAAAACTTGAATTCGCCACACTGAGTACTGTGTTGAAGCCACACGAGTGACGTGACGCGCAGACGTCGTAGTAAGTGTTAAAAGTAATCTAGGGATGATGTAAAGTGTACAGGAGGATGTGTGCAGGTTGGATAGAAACACTGTGCCATTTTGTATCAGAGACTTGAGCTTCCCAGGATTTTGGTGTCTGTGGGGGTTCCGGAACAAATCCCCCCCATGTGCTGCGGGACGGCTGCATTTGACTGGACTCGGAGCTTAGCTCTTTGCCTCCTGTCCTCTCCCGTGCCTCCCCTCCCATGCTCTGGAGGCAAGGACTGGTATTCGTTTCTGTGTCCCCAGGGCCTGGTACACCTTGGCACTCAGTAAAGTTATGCAGTGGCATGTGGGCCAAAGCTGCATCTGCATTTTGGGTCTAGTTTGGCATAGAAAGCAGACGACCTGAGGAAGAAATAGGCTAACGGGCTTTCTGTGGCCACTCTTGGGCTCAGCCTGGGAGCTTGCTGTGAGGAGACGCAGCGGAGAGAGCTGGGCCCGCTCTGGAGCTTTGGATCTAGCGAGGCCCCCCGAAATGCCCACCAGCCAGTGGGGTTACTTCAGGGTGGGGTCACAGCCCAGTTGACACGAGTCCATGTCGAGCCAGGTGAAGGTGGTGACTGTCGTGGGGGCTCTGTGCTTGAGGCTGGAATCCACTTGGTGGAGACCACCAAGAGGAAGCTGAAGGCTCAGGGCTTCCTGGAGGTGGCCCTACCCTGATCCCTCCCCCAGGACACTGGCGCAGCACCACAGTCATCCTGGAAGGGGATCCTCTGAGTCTATAAAATCTGCACTGTGTGTTTTAGGCAGTTTTTCTCCCTAAGGACTTTCCCCTGTGACTTAAAGAATAAAAATATGCTAATGGGGTTGGTGGTAGCTGGCACCCGGACAACCTGATTTCCCTCCAGGGCTGCTCGGAAGGGGGAAGATGTATGGACTGGAGCCTCAACAAGTTAGAACAATGATCAGAATAAAGCCTTTATAAACTAGGAAAAGGAGAAGCCCTGCCACCAGGTATGTGACAGCTTCTTAAAGGCCACCAGTGGCGCCCTGTGCATCTGCCGCCATCCAGGAGCTGGTTGCGCAGACGACGGTGATGGAGCCGTGCGCTTGCCGTCGGGCCGCAGTGAAGGGAGCCGTTTAGTCAGAAAGTACATCCTCAGTTCCTGATATTTGAAAATATTCTCTTGTGAATCACGTGTTTGCACACAGTGAAGGAGTTTGGCTGCTTCAAATGAGACACAGTGAAACCTTTTTAAAGCCATTAAATTATCAGAGCAAGAATTGTTCCTTGGCAAACTGAAATGATCCATTGTATTTCAGTAAAAATGCTTAACTGAAAAGCTGGACTCTAATTAGGAGTCCTCTCCATCCCCGGTTTTATCCATGCATTCAACAAATATTTATTGACATATGCCGGCTACACACTGTCCTAAACCCGAGGAGACGGCTGAGAAGCTGGGCCAGGGCCCCCTTCTTCCGTCCTGTCGCTCACAGGCTGTGCTAAGCGGGGGTGGGCAGGCCAGCGCCAGGGGCTGGAGGGCCGCACTGAGTTGTGGCAGGTTGGCCTCGGTGACCCCTTTGTCTCAGCAGAGTCCAGCCACCCCTCCTGACCAGGCGGGTGGAGGAGGCCTCCGTCGTTCTCCCACTCGTCACTGCCCGCGCCCACTAGGGGGCGACATGACACCGTCGCCCAGCTCCAGAGCCCTGCTGCTGTCAGCTGCCAGACAGAGCCAGACCCGTCTCCACGTTTCAGTGAGAATACAAATCAAAACCGAAGGCCCAAGATTATGAATCACTGACACTTCCAGACTAAAACGATTAGCCTCTTCACATGGGGCATATAATTATTTGAACAACTGCCTTTGTTTAGCCGCAGTCCTGTTGCTAAGGGACTAGGTCAGACAGTATGAAAAGTGGAACAGAATAATATTTTACCGTAGGCCTTGCACCAGTATTTGATTCAATTTGGCTTAAGGGAAGCACTGCCGTGGCATTTTCCCGGAACCAGGCCGTCCTTTGCTGTCAGGATGGGTGAGCATGTCCACTCATCTTTGAGGCGAGCCCGGTTACATCTGCACACGAGCCATCATCCAACATCAGGTCAAATCCCGTCTGATGCCCAAAGGAGGAAATGTCACCAAAGAAAAGTGGCAAGGGTTTAGTGTGAAAGGGACTAGGGTGTGTTTGCGTCTATGGCCTTAGTTTTTAATCGAGTCAGAGTGAAGGGTGGTGATCTGTGCTCTGACCTGGACCTGCCCAATCATTATGAAAGGACAGATCTTGTACCAATGCTGGCCCCACAACCTGAGTGCCCAGGGCCACCTCAGAGTGTGCAGCAGGGCCTGCTCGCGCGGCCACACGCACGTGGTGAGGCCCTGTGGGGCTGCTGTAGGCGGAGCTGCTTGTGCATCCGGGTCCCATGTCACCCCTCGGTTTGCAATTTGTCCAAGACAAAAGCTGCCACAATCAAGGGACCAGAGTTAGAGTCGGAAATTCCCCAGGTTTGGTCAAGTCACCCTTCGAAGGTCCAGATTTGGGGACCTTTTGGGATCCTTGGAATTTCGACTTGTTCTAGTTAAAGAGTCTTTATCTATGCCATCCTTATCTTTCTTTATTTTCCTTTATTTAAATTCCCTGTTTCCTATATTTGAAGTCTTAAAAACCAAGGTTATAGGACAGGTAGCAAGAGTGAATGATCAGAAAGA